TAGCCTCTTCTCCCACCATACGCCTTGGATCAACCGTACTACTGCTGCTCATACCGTTGATGTCGTTAATGACCCGGCAGATTCATTCATTTGTTCTCTCTCCTCCCGCGCAGAAATAGCCAACAGCGCCGTCTTTTGCCGTCCCACGCCGTTTTCGACCTGACGCCGTCGCTCGTTTTTTGTCTTTGTAGACCTCAAACGCCAGCCATTATAGTCCGTCACAGCCTATTATGACTAAAATAAGCTTTCGGCTGACTTTAGATCTCTAGTGTAGTATAATTACACTTATAATTACAACTGTGTTTGTAGCTGTTGGTCTATAATTTATATTGTTTTGGCATTAAACGTTTTAAATACGATATTCCCCGAAGTGAAATAAAACGTCTCCACCAGTATATTCAAATATTTACGTTCGTTGTTTATTTCGTTTATAATACTACTGAAGCCAGAAAAACATTCATTCAACATTTTCTCCGGTCTGCGCTCTTTGTTCTTATTTGTTTGTATACAATTGTTTGGCTGTTGCGAGTAAAAAAATCGAACGTTAAAAATAATAATGTACATTGTGCTATCAAACGTAATATTGAGGAGGAATCCAGTTAACAATGTTGTTGAAACGAATAAATACATTTTTCCTTGTGGTAGATTTTTGCATTTGTGGTTTTCTTTTTCATAATGTGTGTCCTTTGAAGTCTTAATTGATTCGAGCGCAGCTTTATTTTTCTTTTACGTCGTATTTTGCGCAAAATGTCGTCTAGGTCATGTATTTAAAATTACAATGTAATTCGTTTTACTTTTACCAGACATACCTTTACGATGGCAACTCGGTTTATTGTCTGGCAGACGCTTTACTATATTGATAATAGTGCTAAAGCCGTATATTTCTTTTCGATATCTAATATTTAGTGACAATAACAAATAATGATAATTAAAATACTATATTTCAATATTTCCAGTTGAATTTTATTCTTAAACTAGTTGAAGTAGTTCAATATTACAAAATGATTATGTTGTTTAAATTTAACTGTGTATTTTATACTATGACTGTTATATCTCAAAAATGATTTAAATGATAATATATTTACGTCGTTAATTGTTTGAATTTTTATGTGAAATAATGTCATTTCTTTTTTCCGTACTTAATATCTGTGAAATAGTTGTATCCACCAGTATATTCATTACTTTGTATCAATCGTAAAATTCATTCATAAAATACCAACGAGTTATCGCAGCGTGATTAATGTAAAACGATTAGCTATTTAAAAAGTATATATATATATTTTATTTCCCAACCGGAGGATCCGTGTATGGATATATATATATTCATTGTTGAGCTGGTTATTAACAAACAACAATTAATTTACGTTATTTGAAGGTTTTAATAATAATAATAATTCAATCGTTAAATTGTGTAATAACAAATGTACAGCAAGTATTAAACCTGCGTAAGGAGTTTTTTTTAATTTGTTTTCTCTTGTTAGCATTCAGCTAGTTTTTGTATATTATCTAATAGGTGATTCTTTTATATTCAGTGGTGTTTTCACTGAAAATATTATTCAATTATATTTGGAAACTCGTTTAATTTGATTTTCTAACATAGGCATGTCTATGAGAGTGAGCGGGGGCCCTCTCTCTTGTATAACCGTACTTACCTACTTTGAAAATTCGTAACTCTATTAAATTCCATTGGGGGGTACTGGACACTGGGCTAAAATTATTTAAGTTTTCTCGTAGCCATCCTTTTGTTAATGATATTATAATAAAAAAAAAAGAAATGTAGACAATTTTTACTATCTAAAATTTGTTTGATATTGATAGCGTAGTTTTATGATTATAAGTGGAGTAGATTTTTGTTATCAAAAAATGTAGTCCTTAAAAATGTTAAAAAAAAGTCACGCGATCATAAAAATTTTACTGCTCCTCCATTAAAGTCCAGACACGCCTATGAATTTCATTTTGCAACATAAAACGCAGTTTTTGTATAATTATTAACGATATGTAGAAAAATAGATGGCGACGTAAAATATTTTCAACTTGGAGAATATTTTTGATTGTCAGTGTGCAATAATTTAATTAAAGAGAGAACATTTTCATTTCCAACAATTTATTCGAAATCCTTTTTAATGCTGGCAGTCTACACGAGCTTTATGACACGGAAATAATCAAATAGTGTTGCTTCTGGGAAATCGATTGGGCGACGGCTAAACAATTTTTCAATATCAGCCTGTCTGAAAATGCGTGACAGGGCTATTGTCGGTGCGAACAGCGTGCGGAGATGATGTACAGTGTTATATAGGTAATATCGTGTAATAATTGGGGGTGAGATTTATGACGACGACAGGCCGTGAAATGACTTTGTAAATCGCACACCATGTATAATTTTTCACGGTTAATATCCTGCACCAGGTTCAGGGTTACGCGACAGCAGTTAAGTCGATGGGATTTCCCGGTAAGTCGTGGGCGTTGGCCACCTCATGCGGCGTATTGTTGGTTGCGGTGACTCATCCACTCGTGTCGAGCGGCGGGGGGATTGTGTGGACTTTCACCGTCGTGTAACGAGTCGACATGACAGACCGTTCGGATAACGGGTCGCCAAACTTGGGCCCGTATAATTTAGTTTTATTCCCTGCCAACGTCAGTAGTAGTTTATGTGGCCGACTCTTTAATAGGATTTACGACTGTCGCAGATGTACATTGTTTCTGGACGAAAAATACGGCCGGTCAGCTGTTTTGTATTGCGCATAACGAACGAGAAATCCGGTTCTGTAATCATCGCACGCGCAGACGACGGACCGAAATTGCATTGGCAATTTCGGTTGTCTCAAACTGTACCGGTTTAATGGCATGACCTCAATCAGCTGAGCGACCGGCGGCATGCTTCCAGTGCCGATCACTGGAACCGAATAGGTTTTTTAATCATCGGTTTAACGGCATATATAGTTTAAAGAGAACTCAGTCAACGTCTACAATCTCCTTTTACGAGTTTGTTAAACCATATAGTTTAATATAATGAGCTACTTTGTTGATCGTTCAAGTTCTGTAATTGAATATCGTTAAAAATTCGATGATACATTTCAAAGAAAAACTACTGTCGGTGTGCCATTAATCGAAATCATCAAAACGAGTGTAGTAACTTCGTTACAACTATTTCTTCTTGCTTCGTTATTTTTTAAAATCGTGTGTCTACTATAAAAATTGAAATTTCAGGTTTCCAGCTATAAAGTAATAGCATTTTGCGCGTTTCGTTTCTACTTTTATTAAAATTTTATATAATGCTGGTAGTCACTAATGTAATACTTAAAAATTAACCGTGTGGATTATAATTGAACGTTTAATATAATTTTACGAGCGAACGAGTGTTTTCTCAGCTGAATTTTTCGCACCGAAAACTTTGCATAGAGCTACAAATTTCAAAAATTCAAAAACCTTAATAAATTTTAAATCAACAAAATGATATTATCTTTTTTTATGTAGACTAACAATCGTTCCAAATAGTTGCCCAGCCTATGGCGATCAATTTCTTCGATTGAATACTTTAAGTTTAATATTATTTTTTGAAGGTTACTTTGCTTTGACGTGTCTAGAAAATTTCAAGGAGGAAGGGGCAACGCATATGACGCCGATGTGGACGCCATAGGCTGGCGTTAGGCGGTTGCGGGCACCGACCGGAGACGCTGGCCGATCACGATCAGCGCACCTCGTCTCGCGACCTTCTGGAAGGGGTCTGTCGCGTTCCTTCACGTTTTGTACTTCGTGACTTCATAGCTATTTGTGTTAGATTTGAAGTGACTTGCTGACAACACGACCGCGGCGACTGTGGTGATATCATATTGACGTTGTATGATATCCGCACAAGTTTCAAAGGCGGCGGCGGCGTATGAATGCAATTGTAATACGCCCGCAAAATCGTTCACGATGTTCAATGAAAGCTAATAATGAAGAAAAATAAAATCTTTGTTGCGTTTCGCATTGTTTTGTCACAAAAAGAATAACTTTATTGTATCATAACAATGTTGATTCTTCCCGTGAGAATTCGATTAGTTTGTACACACGGTCGTTTAACGTTCGATTTATTAGCCCCAAGGGAGTATACTATTCAATGAAGCTGCTTCACTTATCGCACATTTTTTTTCCAGTAACTCGATGACCTTTAACGTAATATCACCAAAATAAAACACTCCAGTGGATAACAAATGTTTTCGGATTTCCTAAAAACATATTATTCTCGTCGATGTCCATCTTGAAATATTCATAAAGATTGGTGTGCAATGCGGCGCTTAAAACTTCAAAGAACGCGGATTGTGACAAATTTTTATATAATAAAAAAAACTTTGGAATGAGATTGTGAAGTCGCGTGTCGATTATTGAATTCTGTTTTCAATTAAAGTGCTATTTATTCTGAGAAAATATCGCCTATTAAAAAAATATTGCATAAAGAATAACGCGTTTCTTCAGGAGAAAAATAGAATCAAAAAAAAATGTTTAAATACATGTTTTCAATTGAGGCTAATTCTTCTATAGAAAGCCTATGGTTGTTACCGCCTTGTTCTTTTACCCTAAAAATTTTAGATTATAATTTGTTGCGCTAATAAATCAGTTTGCTCTTGACTGACAGTGTTGTATTTAAGAGAGATGGAGAGAAATCACGTGATTCATTAGGTTGTTAACATATCTACAGTTTATAAATTAAATTTTTTTTATAATCTATTATATATAAACGATATATGTGTGCACTCGTGAACAATTCATATTTATATGGTTGGCAAATGGTGGATTAACTGTGAAAGTATGTGCTCCAAATGAATAATGCAAACGTCAGGTATTTGCTTGTGTGTATTGAGAACAAAATGTGGATAATAACTGGTTAAATGACTCGTGCGTTCAATACCGTCGATAATGTGTGTAAAAACAGAAAAAACATGTACACACTATAATCGTTCTTAATCTACTCATTTAAAAACGTTCACTAATTCGGTTTTTTGTTATATTTCTTTTTACAGGAAGTTTTGGACAAAAGATTGGAGGACCGCACGGACCAAATGGTTGAAAGAGGATTAATTAGTGAACTTTGTCAATTTAAAATAGATCTAGTCGATAAAATGGGTATAAATGACGAGTAAGGATATTCACTAAATTATTTCAAATTTTTCTTTACACAGCCGTTTTATTAATTTTATAAATATCAAATGGGCAGTTATATTTAGGCTTAAAATAAATATTTAATCAGTCAAGTTCGTTTTAATAAATTATTTTACTGTTTCACTATAAGGTTTACTGTGACATTATAAACGGATTTTAACCCTTAAAGAAATTGAATTCTAGTCATATTTTCCCGGATGAGGACTTCCTCGGAAATACGGTCCGAGTATTTTGTTGACATTATGATTAATAACGAGTACACGAGAATCCATATTAATGTAATGTAAATCATAAGCAGGATCAATTACGGATTATCAATTTTTAAAAAAGGTTTTTGTGGTTATTTATATAACCGAAAGTCGTATGCTTTCTCGTCAGTTCAAAGACTTTTTAGATAAATTATTATTAGACAATTATCTTATCTTACTTGTTAAATAAAAATGAATAATGCCTGGAAAGTTAGAAATTAATACTCCAGTATAACTATGATTTGGTCTTATTTTATTAAAAATTTCAAATTGATTTTTCTTTTAATTTTTATATGATAATTAGTATTTAGTAATATTTTTATTCTTTAACAATTCAACTAATTAATTTTTTTAAAAAAATATTTTTAATTAAATTTTTTTTTAGCGTCCAGCTGGATTATACTAAAGGTGTATTACAATGTATAGGACCAAAACAATTTGAGAAATATACAGAAATCCCAGAAGATAAACGTCATACAGAGGAGAGTAAAAGAATTTTAAAAGAATCTGTGATAGCAATGAAGTGTGTAACTAAGAAATATGCAAGAAGACAAATTAAGTGGATTAATAATCGTTTCCTGAAATNAGAAGACAAATTAAGTGGATTAATAATCGTTTCCTGAAATCCAATGATAAACAGGTAAACTAAAAAAAATAATATTTAACATGTGTAAATCTATAAAATATTTTATGTTTTAGGCTGCATCTGTCTATAAATTAGATTGCACTGACACCAAAAATTGGGATCAGCTCAGTGAACAAGCTGTTTACCTGGCCAATGTGATTTTAGGCCGAAAGCCTAAATTAGATGATACAATTCAACCAATGATTATTAGTAACCAACCTACTATTGAACCTGTATATGGTACATTTTATTGTAATGACTGTGCTCGATTATTTTCTAGTGAGTTTATTGTAAATATTTAAAAAAAAACCCAATACTATATTTGTATAAAAAGAGACAATGATATATGCCAAAAACCATAAATAAATTTCAAAAGGAATATATTAATTGTACAATTGATTCTAATAGATTATTATTATTGTGATATAATAAGTAGTACATTTTTGTGCTAAGTTATTTAATTGTTTAATTTTTCATAATTTTTTGTATAGTTAAATTATTTTTCAGAAAAAAATTAGCTAAAATTATTAATTCTTGAATAATTAATTAAAATTCTATCTTTTAATAGCTTTTGTAATCGGTTTTTGAGAATAAATACATGAAATAATAAATTTGTGTAAATATGCTAGTTACCATTCTTACTAATTAATTTTAAATTATCAAAAATTCAAAAAGAAATATCATTTTTATTGATAAATAGTCAAGTTTAATAAAATTTATTGTTTATATTGATAATAGATATTTTTTTTAGTTAAATTTCATTATTTTTACAGATGATATACAGTATAACATTCATATGACATCAAAAAAACACCAAAAAATATCTTTAAAAAGGAAACGAAAACTTTTAGATTCACAGTCTAATAATGATGAAACTAAAATTTTTGATCATTAATATGTTTTAAAATTGTATTACATGTTATAGTTATTAGAGAATATTATCAATTTTGATAATTCATTGTTAAGTAATTGTTTAAGAAATAATTTTTCATTCTTGTTGTTAATATATATGTTTATATTCCTTTATATTTTATTAATTTCTTTAATCAACTATTAGGCTATTATGAATTTGTATGTTTATTTTTATTTTGATAAAATTATCTAATATTAGTTTTAGGTAAATGAAAATGTTATTTTATAAAGAACAAGACTGATGATACTATTGTTATTGTATATAAATATTTTATTGTTGAATATGTGTTGTTTTGTTTTTGTCGACTAAAGCTATTTTGTTTTCAAATTTAATTTTTCTATAAATTAGGGTATTAAAATTAGAACTCCTTAAATAGTTAATAAAAATTTTTGAAATTTAAAAAATATATATTTAATGAAAATTATTTTTATATATTAAATATGTTATTTTATGTATTTAAAAACTTTCCATTTTTTTTTGAAATAATATTATTTATTTGTATGAATCGATAAATTTTTACATTTCGTTTCACAAGTAACTATCAAAAAAAAATTTTTTTAATTGTATTAAAACATTTGTTTATAAAACACATTTTATAATTACAAAGTAGATTTTTTATTTTACATAAAACAGAGAAATTAATATTTAGTGTTATTAAATAATTAAAAGTATTAAACATACAATTTTTATATCTTTTAATAGTTTATATTTTAATGCTACACTTATAAATTTAATGTTGAAAATCAGAATTTTTATATGAACAATTGAAATTATAGTAACAAAAATAATGATGTAGTAGAACTAATTTAGATTTACTTTGGTATAAATTATATTTAGTACTAAAGAAAATAATCGAATTGCCGATTTTTTAGTTAATAACTTAGTGATTTTATTCTTAAAATAAGTAATTTTTGAAATGATTATGAATTTTTCACATTGTGAATTAAAAGTATTATAATAATACATTTTAAATTGGAAACCTAATGTCTGTAAGAATACTTTAAAATATATTTAAACTTAATATCATAATATTGCTAACTATTATTGGAATCACTAAAAAAACTTGATAATTACTTTATCATTAGAAATATATTACTTATTATTATAAGTTTTAAATAAAATAATTTACTTTAGAATAATATATTTAATTTTTGGAACATATATTTTGGTGATCATAATACAAATAATGTTTTAATTACTATATTATAATTATAATTTGGTTGAAGTATACAATATTAAATTAGTTTTAAAAACTTTTAATGAAAGAAAACTAAATTTTTGTTTCCCTAAAATATAAATCACTCAATCATTTTAAAAATTGATAATCTTTCGTTATGGATGATGTCAAATTACCATATATCTGCAGCTTCGTAATATCTTTTAAAAAATTGTTCCGTTGAAATTAAAAGTGTTAAAATACAATAGTGTTGCAGAGTCAGTGAATAAACATAAAAGAAGGCTGTAAATACTATTATAATGTCTATATGTTTTAGTTATACAATTTATATCTGATGGTCTTGTTAAAATTCAAAAGTGTATGCGTAAAAATAAAAAAGACATCCTTAAAGTATAAAGTAATATTTAAAAATTAGCATGTGAACAGTTTGAGTTATAATATACTATATATATTTATAAAAGCTTTTAAGACGTTTTAAATAAATGTTTCATCATTATTAAATGTTTAACATTAAAAAAATTCTATGTAGAATATGTATCTGATCTAAAATTTATAATTTAGTTAATGTGACACCAATACTTTTATATTAATTTAATTTTTGAAGTTTTAAAGAGTTATGATAATGGTTATTTATGCATATAGCCAAAATCTTGTTAGACAGTAAAAATATTTAACTATTTTAATTAAATAGTAAAAATTCCTGATTTATCAATTTTTATTATAAGACTGCTATTATTGGTTTACTTATAATTAATGCTAAATCTAAAAAATAGTCATAAAACCATTATGTTATGCGTGACTTGTATTATAAAAGTCTTTGGAAAAATTTGTTCTTCAAAATTATTAAATTTATCTTGATTTAGAATTACAACAATAGATAACATAATAAATTAGTGAATTATAAATAGAAAGTTGTGAATATTTTATTGCAGTCGTTTTCTCATAGAAATATAGTGAAGCATTTCTAAGACTTGTATATTTTTTATGTTTTGATAAAAAACATTTTATAAAAGACAAAAACGGTAGCACAGTGCGATCGTAGTACAGTCAGGAAGAGTATAAATGATATCTGACTAAATAATATCATTATCATAAGAAACAATTCGATGCAAATACGTAGATAATGTTAAACTTTAATAAATTGGTAGATTCCAAAGCATTATCAATTCCTATTTTATGAATTGGTAGTTATTTGATTTATAAGTAGAGTATATCAATGAATACTTAGTAATTTATAGTTTTTTTTTCTCCTAACCCAGCCATACTAAGTGAAAGGGTTGCTAACTTGTCACAGGGAGTTAGCCGAATGGTAAAGTGACCATTGGGATTCTCTATGGCACCTGGCGCACCATAGAGTATACAGCCTTATCACAGTATCGAGCTTTGCTATGATGGACCTTTATTTCTCGACTGCTCGTGGGAACTATATGGATAAAAACATACAAACACCACAAAATAACGAACTTTGGACGATCAGGGATCCTACGGACAACCTGTCGGAACAAGAGTGTGAACTGGTGACTCTTCGCAGGAGAGTCGCCGAATTTAAAGGTCTCAATGTGAACAACGGGACACTTGGTGAACCGTCTACTAGCAAAGAAACAGCAACGTCAACAAATGCAGACCAGGAATTACAAGATCAACTGGGAGCAGTAGCTGACAAAATCGAGGGTCTAAAACTTAGACCTGAGAAACATCAACCTGATAAAATCTTGGGACGGTGCAGAAATCCAATTGGAAGTCTACAACCCGTACAAACGGTCACTCATATACAAGGGCTGCCAAAAGAGTCCAAGAAGATATTGGACATTTTGGCAAAACAGAACCCAGGGCTGAACACGGCAATCTGAAAAGTCCACCATTAGACAGAGGTTGGCCCGAAAGGACAATCATTGTTCCTAAGTGTGGATGGCATGGTCAATATTAGGGTTGATACAATGTATTTAATTATTATAATTAGAATAAAAATATGACAAAAATAATATATAGATTTCTTTTCAGAATGAAAGATTTTAAATGTGACTATTAATTGATTTATGATTGAATCGTGTATATTACAATATAACTAAACAGTATGAAATTGTTGACTATTTCTCTTAAATGTTTATTTAAATTTTTTGTTAGAAAAGGATCATGTCTTTTTAAGAATATACTGTATACAAATACCATGTTATGACAGTGACAAGTATATTACGACACACTTCTGTTTTTACGAAAATTTAAGCTACAACATACTCTTGTATGTTTATAATTAGGTATTTCAATCCTTAAACTCTTAACTGTTTATTTTTGTTTTATATTAAAAAATGTTAACTGTATAGTCCGTATAAATGCTTTAAAAAATTATGCAATAACTTTAAAAATTATTCTTGTTTATTTTAGATATAGTATGTAAAAAAATCCCTAATCAAATTAATACATACTCAAGAATCTATTATTTCTAGTATTAAAACATGGTTTGCTTGTGCACCATTAAAGTAAGTATTATTGGTAAATTATTATTCTGTGTATTACTATATTTGAGTATATTTTAAGCCATGAAAGTCTCCAAAAAATATAAACTATATTGATATTAAAAACAAATCAATTTTAATCAATAAATTGTAAAATTACCTATTGCGCCTACATTTATAATATTTTTTTTTAATTTAGTATGATATTTAAAATTATTTTATTTTAAATAATTTAAATAATTTCTTCTGTAAATTTTGTAACTATTTTTTATATAAAAAGGATATTAACAATTCTAACTTTAAATCATATTTTCACAGTTTTTTTCTTTGACCTACCGTTTTTTAAAAATAGGGAGATACAAATAGTTATTAACTTAAAAAACAAACAAATTTTTAAACCTATTCTGTGTTTATAATCTATATAATTATTCAAGTATGTATAATAAATTAATATTAAAAGCGATAATGTTTAATAATCAGTTTGTGGAATAAGTTGAATTGTTTTTAAATATATTAAATATAAATAGCATTGAAATATAACACTTAGAAATGTGTAAGTAATACGAAATTTTATTAAAATAAGAACACAATTTTTTGATTCAATAGCTTTAAAATTTAAGCGTAAAACTATATAATGTCAGTGAAAACTCAATAATTAATCAAACATAAGAAATTAAATAGTATTTAAGTAAAAAACCCAGCACAGTGAGGTGGCGGCACAGTGGGGTTGTGGCATAGATGATATCTGACAGTGATTAAAATCACTATCATAAAAAACGCTTCGATTGAAATCTGTAGATAGTGTTTAATTAAAAAAAAAATTTGTTAAAATAGCATATCTTTGAATATGGTAGCCATTTTCGCATAGAAGATAGGTCGTCGGGACAAATTTTTTTTTTTCATTTTATAGTACATAAAATAAGCTTTAATTTGATATATGTTTAAAACACGCAGTATTTCCGGAACATTTTCAAAAATTAAGTTAAAAAAGTTATTTTAAATCCCCCCAGTGAGCAGAGTAAGTGTTAGATTTTCAAAAAAAATTATATCAAATGGAAGGGAAATATTTAAGGTTTCAATACAAAACAATATTATTTTTGAAAAAGTTATGGCAGTTTTAAGTACAAAAAACATCCCGATAAAAGATAATTTTTATCGCAAACATTACATTTTTTTTTAATTTTCGACAGCCACTTGCACATAGAAGATAAGATGTCGGGACAAATTTTTTTTTTTCATTTATATATAACATAACCTTTGATTTAATATATGTTTTATATATTTTATATTTCAAGTTTTAAACGCCCCCTATATAAGGGGAAATTGTCCAATTTTAATAAAAAGTATGTCAAATGAAAGATGTACTTTTAATGTATTTATAAAAAAAATTTGTGCTGATATATACATTTTTCAAAAAGTTATAGCATTTTTAAGTTGAAAATTTAAAATCGAAAATTTTAACACAAAAATAGTGTTTTTTTAACTACGGCAGCCGTTTAAATGTAGAAAAAAAAGTGTCGGGACAAATTTTTTTTTTTCATTTTGTAGTACATAAAATAAGCTTTAATTTGATATATGTTTNCATTCTATAGTACATAAAATAAGCTTTAATTTGATATATGTTTGAAGGACGCAGTATTTCCGGAACATTTTCAAAAATTAAGTTTAAAAAGTTAATTTTTGTAAAAAAGTTGCTATTTTAAATCCCCCCTAATGAGCAGGTTAAGTGATAGATTTTCAAAAAAATGATATCAAGTGAAAGGTAAATATCTAAGATTTTAGTATAAAAAACAATTATGTAGATTTGTTGATTTTTCAAAAAGTTATGGATGTTTTAAGTAAAAAACGTGAAAAAATTTCGAAAATTAGCGATTTTTAAATTTGTAATTTTTTTGGATATTTCCCCCATTTATAGGAAACGAGGGAAATTTTTTCAATTTTTAAGGGTAATGTCTTCAACTAGATACGATTTGTGATCTTTTGACGTATTTTTGAAAGAAATCGGTCCAGTGAGAGCTGAGAAAAAGTGGCAACAGACATAAAAAAAAAAAAAAAAAAACACATCATAGTAAAATTAATACCTTCTCCGCTTCGCATCGAAGCTAAAAGACGAAAATCTAGTATTTATAAAAAACAGTTATTGAAAAATACTACATATTTTGTTAATAATTACTCAATTTGAATATTTACAATAAGGTCTATAATTAATATTAAATTTAAAGGATGGGTTACTATTTGGAGTTCGCATAAGACATATTAAAGGAGAGTTTTGTTTAAAATTCGTCGATAAATGAGGCAATTGAAAGAAGGTTAATTACGATAGATACGAAAAGGGAAATTTAATGACACTTAATTTTGTTAATTTGTTTTAACAAACAGGGAAATTCGTGATATATTAGAAATACAAGAATCGGTTAGTTATTATGATACTCACTGAAAGGAATACTTAAAAATTAAAGTAATGTAATATATAATTATTATAATTTACATTTAGACAACGAATTAGAGGGTTATTTATAAAAAAAGGAAACACAAGTAGTTATTAACTTAAAAAACGAACAAGATTTAAAGCTATTCTGTTATTAAAATATATATAATTTTACAGGTTGTAAAATAAATTATTTAAAAAGAGATAGAGTTTAAAATTTAGTTTATAGAGTTAAATACATTGTTTTTCGTAACATATTTATTGTCCTATTATTACAATAAATATAGTTTAAAAAAAGTAAAAAAAACATGCTTTTAAAGCACATCAAACTAAAAAGTTAAAAATAATTTTTAAAATAAGCTTAAAACATTAATGAACGAAAAATACTAGTATTATTGTAATAAAAGCGTCGGACGCTCAATATACGAAAAATATTGCACAAAGCACCCACGCTTTTATCACAATAATACTAGTACTTTTCGTTCATTATTGTTTTAAGGTTATTTTAAAAATTATTTTTAACTTTTTAGTTCGATGTGCTTTAAAAGCGTGTTTTCTTAGTTTTTTTTAACTATACTTATTTTTCACTTTTTAGTTTCATGTTATGATAGTAGTTACTATCAATATCATGGTTGTAACGGGTAACGGGAAATCAGGGTTCGATCCCGGGGAGGGAGTCTGAGAAACGGCTACCACATCAAGGAAAGCAGCAGGCGCGCAAATTACCCACTCCCGGAACGTGGAGGTAGTGACGAAAAATGACGAATAAAGCGTGTTAATAAATATTTTTAATAGCAATTAAAATATATATATATATATATGCATGTAAAGCGACTTAAGTACGTACACGTATCATGCACGAGGTATAGCCTTGTTTTGTGGGCGGGGGGAACGTTATACCTAAGTTATAAACGGCGTCAGCGGCGGTAGGAATATATAAATATATTTATTTATTATTTATTTATTTATTATTAATTTACGGGATAAACCCTTTTTTAAATACATATATGTTGGTTTTACATTAACTACATTTAATACGTATAACATAAAATCACTAAACAAAAATACAAAATATCAATTTATAACATATGAAATAACGTGGTATATATATACAATAACAAAAACAATCAAAATATAAATAGAAAAAAACAAAATATTATTATACATAATTACAACATAAAATTAGGATCACTATTGGCATACCTTAGTAATCGGCGAAGTGGTTCGTTCAGAAGGTAGTTTGTAGGGGCTTGCGTGATACGGAACGGCGCATTTGACCTGGTATTGATCTGTGGAACCCTGAAAGGGACCAGAGACAATAGCGCGGGACATTCAACTTTCCCATCAAGCAAGCCCTTAAGGAATTTAGAACCCGCAACATTACGTCTCAAGGATAGGGAGGAAAGACCTAGATGATTAGCCACAGGAGTATAATCATGAGGCGGACAAGGCAAATCAAGCGCGCGTCCAGCAAAACAAAGGAATTTATTTTGAACCCTTTCCAATTGACGAGCGTTTTCAGCCGTGTGGGGGTCCCATACCACGCTACCATACTCCAATATAGGGCGGACCAATGAGCAAAATAGAATTTTTACTGAACTTCCCAGCTTGAACTCTCTGGACAATCTTATAATAATACCAAGCATCTTTAAGGCTTTACAACATACATGTTGGATGTGAGCACTAGGATCAAGATTATGGCTTAATATGAATCCCAGGTCCCTAACATTATCATACACACGAGGGATGTCGTCGTTGCCAAGGCGATATGGGAAGAAAATCGGAGATTGACTCCTAGAAAATGTTATGACTTTGCACTTGGACGGATTAAGTGATAGTCCTAACGTAGTCGACCACTCAAAAAACTTATCAAGGTCAGTTTGAAGTCTTATACAATCACTAGGAGATTGAATTTGTATAAATATTTTCATATCATCCGCAAAACAGAGAACTCGAGACTGTTTTAGGGTTTGTTGTATACTATTGACATATATTGAAAATAGGAGAGGAGACAAATGACCACCTATATATATATATATATATACCTATATATATACGTAAAGCGCATTACACGCGGGCGGTATTGGTCAGTCAAAATAAAAATTCGTTTACATATATATAATTGATGTCACGGACGCGTGTACGGGTACGAAAACCAAAAATATAAAATTATACAGGAAAATATTGATGTCGGCGAGAGGTGAGCGCGGTGGGGTGAATGCGTTACGACAGTCTAGTCTCAAGACCATAGACGACGGGATACGCGAGAATAATAACACGTGGCGCGTGGAGATTTACAAACAACAAACACACAACATACACGTGAAACTAATATAAGCGTGTTAAAAAATAAATAGCGGGTAAACTCGTTATCTGTTCGAGTTTATCCCAAAAGCTGGATATCCTTATTCCAGAATTCTGGTTTAACAGGTTGGAGACTTCAGCAGTCCTGCGGCCTTGGACCCGGATGGGTTCTTGGTCAAAGGCATAACAGAGAGACGTACGCGTCGGCCGCGTAAAAGGTTGCTTTTGCAACACTGGTAAACCGGGCAATCTGGAACCCCACGCTGTCGGCTAAGTGTGCCAGATCATGGTGTCGGACTCTGTTGGGCTTGGTTTCAATGCTGGTGGGGATGCGCTGTTCCGTCATATGCGCATGACCCTTAAATTGGGCAGAGGTCGCAATCTGATCTCAGCTTTGGTCCTTTGTTTAGGGCCAGGGTGGTGTTCTGCCGTGCACCCTAAATGTCGGTTAAAGATCAGTTTTTGTGGTGGGCCTCTTCGAACCCACTCTAGGAAAGTTCTCTGCTATACTGGATGGGGAAGGCCCGCGGCGTCATCTGTTATAACCGTGAACAGGTCGCGCTGTCCCCTTTCTTGTTATGATAGGTAAATAGCCTACAGTGCAGATTCTGGAAATGGTTAGTGGACCCAAGGCTCCTTGCATCTTTGCCTCCGGCGGCTGAGGGGGTCAATCCGGCCCATTGGACGGCAAGGAGTAACTATGACTCTTTTAAGGTAGCCTATTATTACAAAAATAAATAAATGATTTGTCAATAAAAACTTAAAAATTATTCAAACATAATTATAAAATATTTGAGTAAAAATAAAATAATCTAGTAGTTATAAAAAACAGTTATTGAAAAATACTATATATAAATATATTTATGTAATTCGATAAAATAACATTTAGTAGAATTTAAGTTAAAGATTTAGTGAAATAAGGTACACGTGCTAAAGAGTTTTGTAAAAATATCGAGTCATTGAATTATACCACTACCTGTAACAACTAGACTACTTTTCACAAAAATTTTTATTTAACATATTTATTTTTGAACATTTTATGAAAGTTTAAAGACAAAAAATATAAAATGTAAAAAAAGTACACAATTTAAATTTAAATTAGTATATTCACACTTAAAACAAATGTTCATCTTTTTATATTTATGTACTACATGTTTTTAATGAATACAATGTAAGTGGAATTGGAACAAATAGTGATAAAAATGTTATATATGTGTATGAATTTTCAAACATTACGACAAATTTACAAGTATTTTATTTATAAATTACTATTTTTTTAGTTAGAAATTGATTAATTAATTAAAAGATATTTTCATCTTGATTTTTCTATTAGTACTAATGTTATTCAAATGGAACAGTTGTGGCCAACCTTTTTTAATTAAATACAGAGTGATTGACCAATCCAATATCTTTAAATGTATTAAATATATAAATTTCTTTTTCTTTTTTAAAGATATAGGATCCTATGTTTCATAATTTTCAATAAAAAAATTGGTCCTAATGCTTCTCTCTACTATTCAAATTGTATCAACATTAATTATTAAATGGACACATATACGTTTAATTACATTAGAAATAAGAAAATTATCAATAACTAATGTTGAAACAGTATTTAAAAAAGAAATTTAATAATGGTTCATAAATGCCTAGTAATAAAGTATTAAAAAGATTTAAAAGTATAAAAATAAACTGACCTTGAATATAATTTTTCGGTCATAGTAAAAGAAAAAACTAACTTAAATGTATTTAAGGAAATCTAAGTATTAATTAAATATAAAATGATAATATCTATACAATAATTCTTTTCTTTGACCACTGGATTAAAAAAGTACCCAGCACAGTGGGGTCGTGGCATAGTTGGGTCCAGTATAGATGATATCTGACAGTGATTAAAATCACTATCATAAAAAACGCTTTGATGCAAATCTGTAGATAGTGTTTAAATTTAAAAAAAAAATTGTCAAAAAAATAGGTCAAGTGAGAGCTAAAAAAATAAATGATAGCTACAAAAAAAAACCACATAGTAAAATAATATTACTATGAATTTCTTCTCACGAGAGGAGACTACATAGGATCCTTGATATTTATTGAAGTTATTGAATCTAAATGAGATAAAAATCAAATGACTTAAGCATTTTTTTCTAACTCAAAAAGAATTAAGAAAAAATTCAGTGCCACAGGCGTGAAAGACCCAAGTGTTACCGTCTCAGAAACCGTACGTCGCATTCGTCACCTAATAAAAATGGAAATTTAGCTAGTTCAAATTTTAAAGTTATTTTTCTCGACTTCAAAGAAACAAAAAAATTTAAATATGTTTAACTTTTTATACTATGTCAATTAGATTGATATAATATTTATGAAAATCAGTGTAATCCCCTTATAATAAAATAAAATACAAAAACAAGAATTTTAACACAAAAATAGCATATTTTTGAATACGGTAGGTATTTTCACCATGAAGAGAAAATAAAGTCCAAAATTTTTAATATTAAAGTATATTACATAAGATTTAATTTAAGATATATATATTTATTTATTTATTTATTTACTAAATTAACGCCCCAAAGGGCAAGAGTACAGTTAATAAAACTTAAACTAGACATCAATAAATTTATAGCATACAATTAATTATAAAAACAAACAATATAAGTAAAGATTCTTAACTATATAATCGATCTCTTTATTATATCTAAAGAATTAAAAAAGAAGTCCACTTTATGACAAACTTCATTACATTCTAATAACATACGATTGACCGGAGCAAAAAGATTATAGTTCTGTTGGACAGAAGAAACATAAAACATCGTTTGAGACCGTAAATGGACTGAAGGAACATTAAAAGGAATAATATCAAGAATTTCTGGACAGTCAATTTTATTATTTAATAAACTATGGATCCAACTAACGTCAAACATTTTCCGCCTCATACTCAGACTGGTTAGACCAATATCTGAAGCTACTACATTTAAATCAACTTCATTAATATCGTATTTTCCTACTTTTACTACTAACATACGTAGAAAACGTTTTTGCAATTTTTCCAGTTTATTAGTAAGATTAGCTTGATATGGTGACCAAATAATTGACCCANCCGTGAAGACAAAATAAAGTTCGAATTTTTTTTTTTTATATATTTAAGTATATTACATAAGCTTTAATTTAAGATATATATAAAAGTGTCAGTATTTCCGGAACACTTTCAAAAGTTAAGTTGAAAAAGTTCTACTTTCTATACGCATTTTAAAAGGTTTGCACCCCCCCTGTATAAAGGGAAATGGTCCGATTTTAAAAAAAAGTATGTCGAATGAAAGAAGTATATATANAATATATCAAATGGTAGGTAAAGACATTATGCATCTATAAAAAAAAATTATATTGATTTGTTCATTTTTGAAAAAGTTATGCCAGTTTTAAGTAAAAAAATTGAAAAAATTTGGAAAATTAGTGATTTTTAAATTTGTAATTTTTTTGGAGATTTCCCCCATTTATAGTAAACGAGGGAAATTTTTTCAATTTGTGAGGGTAATGTCTTCGACTGGATACGTTTTGTGATCTTTTGATGTATCGTTGAAAGAAATCAGTTCGGTGAGAGTTGAAAAAAAGTGGTACCAGACAAAAAAAAAAAAAAAATACATCATAATAAAATTAATAACTTCTCAGCTTCTCATCGAAGCTAAAAAAGTAGTAACACAAATAGTTCTTTGCATACAAAAAAAAATATGAATTCTTAAAGCTATTCTGTGATTAAATTATATATAATTATGCAAGGTTTTAAAAAAATTAATATTAAAAGCCATAAAGTTTAATTATCAGTTTATAGAATAAGTTGAACTGTCTTCTAAGACATCTTTAAATGCCCTATTTTTACAAAAATAATTAATAGTTTTAATATGTAATCGATACGACATTTTATTCAAATAAGTTTATCATTGATTGATTCAGTATATTTAAAATTTAAGGATATAACTATTTAATGTCAGTGAAATTTCAATAATTNTATATAACTATGTAATGTCAGTGAAATTTCAATAATTAATGAAATATAAGAAATAAAAATTTACTTGAATAGTAAAAGAAAATAAGACAGTACTTATCTAATAGCACGGTACCAATAGGCGTGTTCCTCCAGTAACTAGTGGTTTCCTGCTAGTCTTATCTGCCGTTTGTATTCAGTATTCCCTACGGGAGTAGGGTCGTTAGGTGCAAATGTGCCAGTTGATTCTCAAAAGATACTCATGGTATGTTTAATTACGTTAATCGTAGTATAGTTTGTTAATTTTTATATAATCATTTAATATTTCATAATTTAATTAGTTATTGCAAAAATGTATTATGTAAGATTATAGATTTACAAATTTATTGTGAATTACTTATTATTGTTAAGATCAACAAATTAAAACTACAAAATTAACAAATTTCAAGATTTCTGACTATTTATTAATTTCAATACGATAAAAATAACATTTCACTAAGATCACGTGATTCGAGTTCTATTCAAAAAATAAGCAATGGATAACCAAGAAGAAAAAAACTACATCATTAACTATCACTTATTGAAGATTTACAAAATGTATCATTTATTTTATCCAAAAAACAAACCTGGCTTAAAAATTGGAAAGTATAACATAAACTATTATGCTATTAAACCATTTCTATTGTTTCTTGATTTAATAGTATTTATAAGCTGTTTTATTGGGTTTTACTTTGTGTTTAATGATTTGTACGCACTTTTTCAAATATCAGTATCATTCCTATGTGATTTTACCAGAATTTTCAAATCTATAAGACTTATGCGGAAATTTGATGAACTTTGGAAGTTATTTGATGTGATGAGAGATGATTTTTTATCACATAATTGTCACAGAAAAGATATATTTCAGCATTATAAGAAAAAATGCATAGTAATGATAAATATTTATGCATTGATATGGTTCACAGCTCTTATTATATGGATTTTAAATCCTTTAATGATGAAAGAGGTCTCTGTTGAAAATCGACAAGGCAATTTTGTAATTTATAGAAATACTCCGCTCCAAATATTTTTTTCTATTATGTCGTATGAACAATACGAAAAAATGTACGCATTCATTTATTTAATAGAATCAGCTGTTCTTGTGAATTCAGTTTTAGACATTTTACTATATGACATTACTGTAATTGAGCTATGTTGGATGTTATCTGCACAATTAAAAATTTTTGCTTCTAAATATGAGAATTTTGGCTATCAACATACAAACAATGGTAAATATATAATTAATAATATTTCACATTGAATAAATTAATACTTTATTTATTAATTTTTATTTGAAGAAGAATCCAATAATAACAGTTCTGTCGACAATTTTAGGAATATAATTGTAAATCACATAATAATTATTACGTAAGTTGTAGTTTTTTATAATAACATTTGTACAATTTTTTCTTTTAAATAAATTCATCTTAAATTAAGTTTTACGGTGAAATTGGAGACGAATCATTGACTAATTATTCAATATTTTTAAATCTTTTAGCATTCTATATGAAACTTATATATTTTGAAAATGAAAATGAAATCTTAGATAGTATATCTAATAATAAAAATCCTCAAATAATTATTTTTTATTTTTTTTTTATTTTTATTATTTAATTTATTTATATATTTATTATTGTTTATAAAGGATTTTTGTATTTTTTTTTTGGTTTTGATTTTGATAACCGTTTTCCATGTAGGAACAATAGCAGTTTAATTCTTATATGAATTTTTGAATTGTATTTTACATTTATTACGTATATGCAAAAATAGATTGTCTGTCAAAAATTAATTCAAAAATTATAGCTATTTAAATTTTGCACATAATGCTGTTATCAGGCCTTACGCACTTCATTAATACTTTTCCTAATGTAGTTTTTGTGTACAATTCATAATAAGAAAAAGCTGAAATTGAGAGAACCTATTTTTAAGATTATAATTTTGGAAATTTGGAAGCCTCTACTTCTTTATTTTTATCTTTAAGTTTATTGTTTTATATTTGATTTTGTCTAAATACCGACATGATACTTTTCATACTAAATAGAACATGAAACAAAGGGGCAAATGTAAGTTCCTATATGAAGTTAAACAGATAGAAATGTATATAAGTTAGTTTCTACACTGCTATATTTTTTAAATATGTTAGTTTCTATTCGTTTTTTATTTAAGATACGTTAATTCCTACACGTGATTAAATTTCGGATACGTTAATAATTGCACAAAAAATAAATTCAATATACATTTACATTTACTTAATTAAATTGTAGTGTCGATTTGTTATTTATAGAATTGCTCAATGATTCTGAGCTCCATTTCATTATATTTGCAGGAACTTCACCAAGGAGACTATTAAGAGATTTTATATCTTCTAACAAAGTGTATTACTTTTTATTTTTATGATTCAAAGTTTTGAATAGGGGGGTTGTATTATTAATAACACTAGTTTACAACAAAATTGACCCATGACTTATGATAGTCATTTTTTATGTGAAATCGTCCACTGAGTCCGAAAATGAAGTCCAAAATACAAAAAGTAGAACAGTTTTTGAGTTATTAAATATTTAGATAATAAGATATTAACGTTTTTCGTGTGCCGCGAAAAAGTGTTTTCGCAAAAAAAAGCTACACCTTCTCTTCTCTGCCCTGTACCTTTGCTTTCTATCAAAGGACAGTTTTTCTTGTATGCCGAAAGGATGCAATTCTGAAATATTACACATTCCAATACTTGGCGAAAAAGAGTTGTTTTATTTAAATCTATTTTTTCATCAAAAACGCTTAGTGGTATAATCGTAAATGCTGATCCAACTAAGCATTGTAATACAAAATATTAGAGCATTTTTTTTTCAAATTGTAAGATGGAAGTTCACTTAAGAAAACTTTGGCAATATTAGATACTGTATCCATTGCATCTAATATTTTGAGATCACCTACGATCTTGTGAATTTTATTTTTTAAATTTCGCAATAGAATTTCTGCTCTATCTTTAAAAGTTACTTTATTGTCGTTATGATCAGCCATTTTAATGATTAATTGCGTAGTTTTACAATTTTCTATTGAATTTCTATTATCTTTCCTAACTTTGGTATTAATATTGGTCTAGTTTCATTTATAGATCCATTTTTCAAAAAAAAAAAAAATTTCCAGGTCCTTTAGTATTTAAGTTTATCTGTTAAAACCCCTTATTGTTGATAAAGAAATAATTTTGAATATCGTCGTTTTGTAGATTTACCTTTTTTTTTGCCACCCTTCTTCCGATGTAGATTCTTTTTTTTTTTTCATAATATTGTAAGCAAATGCATGATTGGCCACAACCTTTCTCACTATTGGGGTTGTCTATAGAGCACCCAAATAAATTAACAGGTTTATTACAATTAAAACAGCAGTGCAGTCCTGTTGGATAGTCACCATTTGAGCAAGGAAGGCACAAATGATATTTATTTTTCTGTACATTTATTTTCATTTATTATTCTAGTGTCAGTCTTAAGCTCAAGAATTTTCTTATATGAGGGTGTTATGAGTTCAAGTGGAAAAACATTTACCTAAGAGTAAGACCTCCAAAGATTACCGTTTCCGATCAATCATTAGCACTTATGATTACTTAAATGTATGCTACAATTTGTTACGGACAAATAAAAAAGAGAATTTGCCATTATGTTACATACGAAATTATGTCAATCATTTTGTTCGCATGGTGGCTGATTGGAAACCGTTAATGAGGTCTAAGTTTCTGAGAGCTAAAGAATTGTATGTTAGATCAATAACCCTATTGATTTATTGTAATACTTGACAAGAAACAAAACGTATACTACAAGTATTTTCAGAATAACATATATCAAGTTGATGGTCCCCTTTTTTAAGATGTCGATAATCGCACAGAAACAATGTGCTACCAGTAAAAAATATTTACAAGAACTAATAGCAAATAAATCATATAGAAATATATAGAAGTGATTGATGAAAATTTTTTGGAAAATAGTATTGTTGAAGATGACATCTAGGAAAGTGATGATATTAATAACGAAATGGACTGTAGTTTTATGTCATGGACTGCTAAAATTGCAGAAAATTGCAAAAAAGAAGTGAAAAGAAGTGAAAATAATGTAAGGTCAGTTTGATAATNGAAATGATGGAAGGTCAGTTTGATAATGCCAAGACTTGCCAGAATTAGTCCCAAATAGTATCAATAGTATAGTCAAACAATATCAAAAGTATTGAAATAAATATATAAACAGTATGTTAATTGTTTTATAAAGATTTAACGTGTATATATTACTACGAGAATAATCTAATTTTTAAATTAGATTGCACTCTTAGTGATTGAACCCAATAAATTATTTAACAACATACATTTTTAGAATAAATTTTACAAATGCAGCTGCTGGGATCACGTTACTCTGGCATCCGGAGAAAAAAAACTATTTTCTTGGGGTAGAGGGGTCTACAAAAATTAATTTTATTTGTACAAAATTGTACATAATACTTATTGGTTTTGATTTTGGTTCACTGATTGATAAAATAATTCTGACATAAGAATCAAAAAGTTTTCCATAGACTGGATTAACTGTATTACAAGAGGTGATCCCATCCTAATATATTTTTATTTTATGATTATTCAGAAGAAATGGCATCGCTTATTTTTTTTAACTAATTTTTATATAAAATTGTTGTAGGAAAATTAAACATTTTTATGAATTATTCAAACCTATTACAATAGTTCAAATGGGAATAATGTCTAATGTTTGTATTGCATTAACTTTTTTATGTGTTTTGGTGAGACTCATATATATTTATTTTTAAAGTATTACAAAATTTAAATAAAATATACCAAAATAAATCATATAATGGATCCATTTCATCATNTTATTTATTTTTAAAGTATTACAAAATTTAAATAAAATATACCAAAATAAATCATATAATGGATCCATTTCATCATAAAACCTATGATGGATCTATGAAATAGACAATTTAATAGAGATTAAGATAATTCAGGTCGATGGTTAATAGTAATCATCTTGATAACTCGATAAATTGTTAAATTAATTTTATAGA